TTCCTTCAAAAATCCATTAGAGTGCACATCTCAGTGTTCCTGTGGTACCGTATTTCAGCTCTAAGTTCTTTACCCTGCTGAGGTTTGAATGTGTCTCCGGAATTCGTCAGTTTGGAAATTGATCCCTAACACAAAAGCATTGAGTGAGAGGACTCGGAGGAGTGGTTAGGTTATGAGGGCTCCACTCTTACGAGGTATTGCAGAAATGGATTAGTTTTCATGGGACTAAGCTCCTGACTGAAGAATCAATCCCTCCCCCTCTTCCATTTCCTCTCCTCCTCCTTTCTTCTCTCCCTTGCCTTTTCATTCTCCTTTTCATCCTCTCTCATGCATACTGTCTTGTTTTCCTGCCTTCTGCACAGAAAATGCCAGTGGAGGGCTTTACCACACTCTGCTCCCACTGACTCTAGATTTCTCAGAATTCAGAACTGTAGGAAACCAATCTCTGATCCTATAAATTACCCAATCTTAGGTATTCTGTCATAGAAACAACAGAGTGAATCAATACAATTATCATCTTGTACTAATTACTTTTCTAACCATAATATTTATTTGGCATGCTATTGTGTTTTCCATGCCTATCATAATTAATACTCAGTTATTCTCAAATGTTGATCATCAGATGAATTGTTATGTACACATGATAAAATATTTGTAAGTACACTTGAGTTCATATAAGCAGCCTCCGTGCAATGTTGTAAGCATGTCACCAAAACACTGGGGTTGTTTTTGTTTGTTTGTTTGTTTGTTTTTTCAAAAGTATAGTAAATTTTGTCACTATAATCATGGCTTAATTTTATAGAGTGTATTATGTTATCACTCCCTGAATCCTCACAATAATCTCATTAGGAAAGGTGTATTTTAATTCCTGTCTTAAAAAGTAAAACACAGAAATGTCCGGCTCCTTATTCAAATTTACCAGGCCATCAAATACCTTTGCTGGGACAGACACCTAGGCAGGTGGACTCCACAGTCCATGCACCTAAGTCCTACACCCTGAGATGAAATTCACGGAACCGCACAGCTGTGTGTAAGCACAGCTTAACTCACTGCGCTGTACATCTACAGACTGGCTCTTGGACCACCCGACAGAATCCTGTATCCACTCGACATTTTGGCTCAGTTCTTAGGTTTGATCCTCTTCTGTAGCAACCTCATAGATTTTTGTCATGAAACAGTGTGTAGTTTTAGTGGGATACAATATGGATGGCAGATATCTAAGACTTACTCCCTAGGTTCGGACACTTGGCGGGTCCATGGAGGGGTTGTGTTGAAGGGTAGATACCTATGTGAGCATGCAGATTCTGTAGGCCTTATCGAGAATTCCATGAAAAGTGGTATATCATGGTGGAGACTTTAAAAAGTTTTAAGCTATAACACTAGAAAAATGTCAGTGACCTACTCCATGTTCTCGGTTGACACTGTCTGATAGTAGTCACCTAAATTGTAAACCTGAATTGTAAATCACAATAAGAGAATACAGACCTTGTATGCATTTAAACACATCACACTTTTTATTTAGAGATAATATGTGTCATTGTTTATGACCAGAATAAAACCATACAACTATTTTGAGCAACAAGTCACTATGGTAACAGTTTTTCTGATTAAATTTAGAGTTGCAATGCCTCCTGCTACTGTAAGACATGGCTTTTAACAGCAGGTACTGTATATCATTTTCTATTGGGACTCATTTTGTTTTATATCAGGTAAGGCTTAATGTTAACTTTACCTAATGCAAATTCTGTATCACAATATACAATAACTTATGCTGCATGCTTAATCATTTCATGGAAACCTTACTGGTTGGAGCTTTTCAAAGACATGTGAAAAATGAATGATATCATCAGAGGGGAAAAAACATAAAAAATTATGGGATTCTACAGCAATAACTATACTTGTCTATACAATTCATTTACTTCTACAAAACTGTTTCTTCAATTATAAAAGTCAATACATGTAATAGTGTATCACAGTGGGAAGTTTTAATTTTTTAATCATATTAATTTGTGGGGGGGTGTGGGGGGTGTCTGTGTCTGTGTCTGTGTGCATGCTCATGTATGCTGTGGTGCACACATGGGCATCAGAGGACAGCTTGTGTGAGTAGGTTATCTCTTTCTACCTGGTAGGTCCTGGGGATTGAACTCAGGTCTTCTCACTTGGCAGCAAGGGTCTTTACCCTCTGAGTCATCTCACCAGCCCAGGACTTTATATATTCATATTATTTTCTTATATAACATTAGGTCTCCTTGCCTGGTTTCCTACACCATGATGAATATATTCTATTTTTTTTAATTTCTTATTCAATGGCAAATGTTTTCCAGACACCTTGCAAACAGTGAAGATCATAAATTTTCTTCAATCCAAGCAACACTTAAACTGTACCATAGAATTAGAACTTCAAAACAACCAGAACAGCAATAGTGGTAATTTCTCCCCCTGAGCCCTTGAGACATTCCACAGATTTAATGTGTCTGAACACTTAGTACCCAACTAATAGTGCTGATTTGGAAGACTGCGGAACCTTTGGGAGGATGCGCCTCACTGCAGAAAGTGGGTCACTGGGGGTGGGCCTTGGTGTTTGATAGCCCATCCCCACTTCCTGTCTGCTAACCACTTCCTGAGTCCTATTCCTGCCTCTAATGCCTTCCCTACCATCATGGGCTGTCTTCCTTCAGACTGTGAGCCAAAGTAGGCCCCTTCTCCCCTAGGTTGTCTCTAGTCAGGGATTTGGTCTCAGCAGCTAAAACACTAGGACTCCTCAGCAATCACAGGAAATCAGAGACGTGTACACTGAGCACACTCACATCGTTTGCAAAGAAGTTATAATACTAGCATCAGTAAAAGGAGGTTGTCCTTCCAGCCTGACAAGTGGCCCCATGAGCTTGCTCAGAAATCCACTGTACAGATTAGGGACCCGGGTGCTTTCCTTGGGTGTTACAGCTCATGAAGTGAATGACGCAACGCACTGAATGTCTTAACAACGGTTCAGGAGCAATGGCTTATACTGAATAAAATGAAAAATTTGGCTGGTGGAATGTAATGAGCATTCCAAGTCATGAGGCACCAGATGCCAGCATTTCCTCAATCATATATTAAAGTATCTTTGTGTAAGTATACTTTATGTAAGTATTGCTATTATGAGCACTGTATTTACACAAGGGAGCCCAGAACTCCAATGTTTGCATCCGTATCAGTTACGGTTGCCACTTAATATTGCTACTTTTCTTATTGAATGTCAGATGAGTAAATCATAGGAATAAAACTGTAAGCTTGCTTAATATGAAAGGCCTTACTTATGATTTTGATAGTTTGTTATCATATATTGAGGTGTGACAGGCAAGCCAATTATTCACCCAATTAGTTCTATTCACATACAGTTCTTCTTTCAAGTGCCACCACAAATATTTACAGAATTAGTGATGCAATACGACATAATGCATTTTGATAAGTATCTGGGATGTGTCAGAATGATGAGTTTTCTGCTATGCAGGAACTACATCCACAACATTTTCAAAAACTTGAGTGGATCATTGGTGACAAAAATACTATGGGTTTGGTTTCCCCCGAGTCTGTTGAAATCCTTAAAATGCTTCATTTTCTTAAGTCGTCTATTTAGTTACAAAGATGAAAGGCGGTGATAGAAAACGGTTTTAAATCATTCTAGGTGGACTTAAGGAAGACAGCCTCTGTCGATTACTGCAGGTGTATGCTCTACACCACTGATTCCTTCTGCCTTCTAATTCCTCAGAGCATCACTCATTCGGGCAAAAAGAATGCGGTTATTTGAAATCTTTTGCATATGAGGGAATTATTTTCCCCAGTAAAATCCCAAAGGATGATGTAAAATTGTAGCTAGGTGAGCCGAGAGTAAATGCTACATCCTAGAAGTTTCCATCATTTTGGCCCAGCGGAAGTATTTAGAATTGTGTCTAAACCCCCTAAGGAGTGGAAATGCACATTTTCTCCGTTTCACCAATGCCCATTCTGGTCTCTTACTATTAGAACACCAACCGCTTTCCCCGAGGCAGGCAAGAAGCAGCTGTGACTAACAAGGCTGAGAGATAAGGAGGCTTTGTGACTGGCAGGGCACCTGGGAGCAGGGGTCATCCTTCTGACCTTCCAGCTCTAACCCCAGAACCCTTTCTAACTGGCTTAAATGGGCTTGTTTTCCACTTTTGTTATTAAAATAGAAGTGGAACTCTGCTTGCCCCCGCCTATCAGCATCTCTTTCCTCGGCCTGCCTGACCTTGAGGTGGTGGCAGCTGCTTCAGTGGAGTTAAAAATGGACCTTCAGGCCGGCTTTCCGTTTCTGTTGCTCTGCCTGCAAGCGTCCTCCCACCGATCTGTTTATCACCCCTCCCTCTGTACCGCTTCTGTTGTTTTGCTTGTGAAGAGTCTTTAGCCTGGACAGCTGATCCTGCTTGTCAAGGCCCTAACCTGCAGGTCCTTGCACACGCAGTCCCCGACGTGCAGGGACTGGTGCTGGAACCTCTCCTCCAACAAAACCCACCCCAGCCCCGGGTACCTCAGCAGTTTCTTCATCTTCTGATCCCTGGCAACCCAGCTGGGAATATGCACACCTAGCAAATAGGGCAGCCGGGCAGCGGGAATAGGGTGGTTGACTGAGTTAGGAAAAATGTTTGGCGTCTTACTTTTATGGGTGTGCGATCCCCTCTGCCCCTCTGGCCCAGGACTCCCCGGGAGAGTCACTGGCATTATCCCAGCAGGATAACTTTATTTTCATGCTTGAAGACCAAAGCCTAAACTTCTTCCAAAACAGGCCCACACCAGTAACTTCAGCTTCTGGGAAAGGCAATCTCTCAGAACTATCCTGCGGGTGGAGCAGGCAACGGAGATCCCATTAGTGGTTTTGTTTAGTTTCTTGGCACTGCCCCCTTTCAATTCAAGATCCCTGCTTTCAGAGGCCAGGTCTTAGAATGGTGCCAGGTTCGCCCTGGCCGCGGAGAGAACGTCTTAGTCACATCTGTAGCATCCTCAAAGATGTCCCATTGATTCCTGAGTACAGCTGAAGCCAGAGAAGCCCTTGCCACATCCGACCACCTGCGGAGTCTGGGTGCGGACTGGAGCTGATGGGTTAGATGTTAGAACATGAGCATAAAGGATGCTCACAGAATACCGACTCAGCTAAGCCAAGTACTTATTCAGGATGACACAGCAAAGCCTCAGGTCATGGCTAACAGGACTTGGAGCTTCCTCCTGCCTGAACAGCTCCTTAGCCAAGACCTGGGCAGTCTGAGCGTGGAAGCACACAAGCTGTGTGCAGGAGCTCACACCAACGAATCCAGGTTAGTGGCCAAAGGGAGGTGGTCCTTGGGTGAAGTACAGTCACGGTGACCAGTGGCCACCCAGGAAACAGCAGGTATCCGCCCAACTGGTGGATGATCCTCAACTCCCAGAGGCTTGCCTGGGCCCCTGCCTTCACTGGAACTGAAATGCATGCGACCTGACCCGGCAGGGGCGGGCCAGGGCACGGGCGGGGCGGGTGGCGCAGGTGGGCGTGCCGGCCAGGCAGGGAGGCTGGACCTATAAAGCACTCTCTGTTCCGGAGGCGGAGCGGCGGGGTGCAGCCTGTGCTGGTGGGCGCGGTGGCCCGCAGCCTTCGGCTCGCAGCCGGACTGTGCTGGGGGGCCACTGTCCAAGGATCGGGCTACTGAGGGCGCCTGGCTCGGTTTACCCCTCAGCATTTGGTGAAATCCCTGCAGGTGAGCGGCAGGAGGAGAAGGGAGTGAGTGGGCAGGGTCGCTCCCCAGTTGTGCTAACTTTCCAGCTACTTTCAGCTTGTTGGCTGTAGTTGGCGTCTCTGCTCCTAGGGCTTTGTCAACTTGAGTTACCAAGGCTGGTCCCTCCCTCTGGAAGGGCAGTGCCCGGGCTAGTTCTCTCTGGCGATGCCGGGACTCTGAGGAGTCTTTGCACTTCTTGTGTGCTTTTGCAAACTTCTCTCACTTTTTTTCCCCGCAGCGCCTAAGGGGAAAACCGTTCTGCTCCGCGAGGGAAACAGAGCCGTTGACCATGGTTGCAACGGGCAGTTTGAGCACTAAGAACCCGGCCAGCATTTCAGAGTTGCTGGACGGTGGCTATCACCCTGGGAGTCTGCTAAGTGGTGAGTCGCCCGGCTGTCCACCTCTTTCCTATCCGAAGATCGCGGCCCCTCTCTAGATAGTGTAAGCGTCCCTGCCTGAGCGCGCGCTAGACCTCATTCCCTCCTACATAGAGAAGACTATGAAATCCATCTGAGATGTCTTTCTAAACTTCCTTAGTTAGCATCATCTGCTTACCAGAAACAAACATAATGAGAATACTGCGTTGTTCTAGTCTGCTAACAGGATCCTGGGGATGAAGTTCTCTATCCCTTATGGTTGGGACATTAAGTGCCCAGCTGGGTGTGTTTTAAGACATGGTTACTTGTGTAACCAGCACCACCATATTTTCCTCCCAAATTCTTCTCTGCCATCTATTTCCTCTTTTCCCTCGTCCCCAGAGAACCATCTTTCAGCGTTTTGTTACTATGTTAGTTTTGCTTTTAGAGTGTTAGATAATAATGCAATATGTGTCCTTCTGAATTCAGTTTGCTTTCCCACAGCTTAATGTTTTGGAGCTAGATCCTTCCCTATTAATGTGCTCCTTTTCATAACTAAGTAAGATTCTACTGTGAAATAAACCCACTATTCCATACTGTGTCAGGACAGTTTAATAGCCCTAGTCCCACAGGAATAATCATTTGCCACTTTAAATAGCAGTTTCTAATTTAACAGGCTACTCTACTATCAAAGAATGGTGGTGTGGATGTAGATTAAACTGCTTAAGCTCTTTAGATCTTCCTTATTTGTAAGATAAAATTAAGGTAGTGCTATAGTACAAAACTCTAAAATTGTCTGTCTGCAATGTAGCTATAACATAGGTAAAATACAGATCTGATTTGGAAGATATTAGTTTAGGGAAAAAAAAAAAAAAAACAGTGACCTAAATGAATACATGAAGTAGAAAGCAGGTAGAGGTTTGAAGCCACTGTGTGGTGTGGCACCCTGCCAAGTGGTAGGATTAATTTGGAAGGTAGGTGACCAAATGCAGAGCTATCTTTTTTTTTCTCTGAGCAAACCTAACTTTGTTTTCCTGGGTTTGTTTTGTTTTGCTCAGCTAAGAAAAACCTACCCAGCCCAGTTATAAATAACCTCATGAACCTCAAAGGTCCTCTCCTCTGTGAGCAATCTTTAATCAAACAGCTCAAAGCTAAAATTGGACCTTCAGGCCATTCTAGCAAAGACTTTTAAAGAAAAAGAAAAAGTTGGTGGATCTTTGGTCCTGAGATGGACTTATTCACAAACACTTGCAATCATTCTGTGTCTTGATACATACACACTGACAGTCGCTTTGTGAAGCAAAAGTAATGATTAAATTCCAGATGTTCTGCGTGTTCTATGCAAGAACACTAAAATAAACTTGGAAAACCCTACAGAGAGGGCAAGCAAGAAAGGAAATAACTAGTAATCTTGGACAACCACGGATAGATTTTTGCTTCACGATCCTTAAGACTATAAGTAGACATAGAAATTTTAAAAAAGTTATTTTAACCTAGTCAGCGTGTTCATCACAGTCTTGAGTGCACAGATAAGTTTTCAGTCTTGAGAGATTAAATGGCTTGTCTTAGTGCCTGTTGGTTAAGAGCAAAGTGAGGTACGCTAACTCAAAGTGAGGTATGCTAACTCTCACAGCTGTACCCAAAGCAGTTAGATACAGAAGCTGGAAGTGGCCAGGCTTTATTAATGCCAGGAAGACACTGTTTCTCTCTCCTCTAAAGTGTTCATTTCTTTCAGATTTCGACTACTGGGATTATGTTGTCCCTGAGCCCAACCTCAACGAGGTGGTATTTGAAGAGACAACGTGCCAGACTTTGGTTAAGATGTTGGAAAACTGTCTATCCAAATCAAAGCAAACCAAACTCGGTTGCTCCAAGGTCTTGGTCCCTGAGAAACTGACCCAGAGAATTGCTCAAGATGTCCTGCGGCTCTCCTCCACAGAGCCCTGCGGCCTTCGGGGTTGTGTTCTGCACGTGAACTTGGAAATTGAAAACGTATGTAAAAAGCTGGATAGGATTGTGTGTGATGCTAGTGTGGTGCCGACTTTTGAGCTGACACTCGTGTTTAAGCAGGAGAACTGCTCATGGACGGGCCTCAGGGACTTCTTCTTTAGCAGAGGTCGCTTCTCGTCGGGCCTTAGGCGAACTCTGATCCTCAGCTCAGGATTTCGACTTGTTAAGAAAAAACTGTACTCTCTGATTGGAACGACAGTCATTGAAGAGTGCTAAGGAGGAAAAAACAATTAAAGTTCCCTAATGAGTGGATAATAAACCTCTGAAGCTATTCAGTCAGTCATTTGTAGTTTGCCTGCCTGCCCTCACCAAGAACTCCCAGATTTAGGCCATCTTCCTTCTGGATTTTTCACCCATAGCAACCTACTTCAAAGGCTCTCTCTCTCTCTCTCTCTCTCTCTCTCTCTCTCTCTCTCTCTCTCTCTCTCTCTCTCCTCTGCTCTCACAGTGATCTTCTCAATGACAGGATCTTACCAGATGATGTCCAGCCCATCAAAATATACAGAGGTCCATCCCACCAGCTTCCTATTCAGATCTGAAGAGTTCTTACACAAGAGGGTACAGTTAAATTGATGAGCTTAATTAAAACATCACCTTACATAAGAGCAAATAAATCTCACAGTAGCGAGAGCATGGCCTCTCTGCTTGGTGTTCTCCCCACACCCGTGCCCAAGAGACAAACTGCTTCCACTGTATTTTAATGATTACAGGATTGCTTTCAGTGTCTCTAGTATCACGTCAGCTCAGTTTTCCTAGTTCTCAACTGTTGAATGTTGGCATTTTTTCATATCTTCTTTAAGTAGAGAAAGAGAGATGGCACGCTGGCCTTTCTGGCATGTAGTTGATTGGACTGAGCAAATGGTGGTTGCCCATCTATGAAGATGGAGAGGGGTAACTCAGACCCTGCCCTGTTCGGGTCCACTTGACAACATTACTACTTTATGCCATTAAGATGCTTAGTCCCCAGGGAGGCATCTCACCACATCAATGGTAGCTCATCTCTGGCCTTTTCTGAGAACAGGACCACCTTTCCTTAACTTCACACTTATTTTTAATGGTCAGTGTTTGTCTTATTGTTAATGGTCAGTCTGTTTGCAGAACCTGGTTTGACTTTGAGATGTTGTTGCTACTACAAACTAGATGTGAAAATTGTATAACTTAAGACAACCAGTGCACACATCCAGCCTCTGCCCACCCTACACACCCACTCCTAGGAAACAATAAATGCTTTGTTCCGTTGGTTTTTGTCTTATTCTGAGTAACTAAATGAGTTTCTGTTTTTATGGCCATGAGGTAATTTACCCTCCACATAACTCTGCTCTGTTCAGCAAGGTCTTTTCATCCTTGGGTCATGGAAAGGAGTGCATCAGTTCTGCCCAAGCCTTTAGTACAAGTTCATATACCTCAGACACCAGCATGGCTGAGACAGATATCTTCATCCTGGCCTTACACAAATAAGCCTGATGCAGTTACTGATCCTACAGGTGACCTAAGACATCCCTGTTCCAGTGGGCAGGTGTTCTAACAAATTGTGTACTTTGGATGCTTGGGAAGGCGCCTCAAAGCCAGTCTTGACAGACTGGGGCAATAGGCAAATCCCTGTTGTCTTGTAGGCTTGCCGATGTGCAGGGGTCTGAAGGTCACTGTGCTTTCACAGCTCTTTTGAGACACCACCTGGAAGGATGCCGAGGCTTCTCAGGCATGGACATAGATCCTTTTCCCACTAGCAGCTGTTCCTGGCTCTCTTGCCTGTTTCAATGACAAAGTGATGATGGCTTAAGGTGGCACCTACAATGATATTCCTGTTAAAAAAGTTCAAGTCTGTCTATTTTTTACAATAAAACATTTTATGTTTTTAATTCTCTTGCCTTTGTTTCTTCTGCTTTTGTGTCATGGTGACCCTAAAATAGATTTGACAGTATTTGGAGGAAGATAACGAATTACTCCCTTTTGACAAAACTGTTTTGCACCCTCAATTATATTATTCCAATTACACTTATTTCATATATTTACATATAGATAAAGAATGATTTGATTCCTAAACTTCCAATTTTCTCATAATATTTTCAATAGGAAGACATTAATGATTTGCGAGCCACTGGCAACTGCCTTCAAAACAAATCCCAAAACATTTTGTATAGCTTTCTGAATAGCCAAACACACACACACACACACACACACACACACACACACACACACACACACACATATATATAAAATTAGTGTACTAATAAATTTTTACTAATAAATTATATTAAATAACAATTCTGAATTCTTTCAATTAAAATTTAAATTTTTCACATCCCTTTTGTGTCTCTTCACATTAACACTCATTATCTCAGAACTTTCGTAATATAATCATTTGAAAGATAGCAATATTAGACACACTGAACACCATATAGACAGAATCAGGAACATTTGCTTTGAAAATAGACTAGAAAGCTGTATTCTTTGTTTATGTTTGGTGCTGAAACCACAGCATCAAGCATGCCAAACAAATACCCTACTGCTCATGTACGTGGAGCTGGACTCCAGAAGCAAATGTTTAGTGTGGTTTCTGGTTAAGTAGGAAAAACGAGGAAACAATTGCCAGTGTTTGGGATGGCACAGTGGGTAAAACTACTTGTCACAAGCCTGACTCTAAGTCTGATCTCTTAGACACAGATGGTGGAAGGATAATCCAATGCCTGCAAGTTGTCCTCTGACCTCTGTACAAGTGCCAGGCCATGCTCATGTACACACACACACACACACACACACACACACACACACACACACACACACACAAAATGAAACTACAATTTTTTTTTATTTAGGAGATTAAACCAGTGGGAGGGGTAGTGTGTGTGTGTGTGTGTGTGTGTGTGTGTGTGTGTGTGTGTGTGTATGTGTGTGTGTGAAGGCTAATTTTTTTTTTTCCGGAGCTGAGGACCGAACCCAGGGCCTTGAGCTTGCTAGGCAAGCACTCTACCACTGAGCTAAATCCCCAACTCTGGTGAAGGCTATTATTATATGCATTTCTCAATTACATAGATTGGAACAAATGATGACAATATTATTGAAGTCCAGTACAGGTCGTCAGCAGATAAAAAAGAAAGGGTGCATGTGACATGCTAGAAAGGAGGAGTATAAAGCGTCATGAAGAGTCCTGGACCACTGCTCACACCTAGTCATTGGTGCAGATTCAAAAGAGTTTTCTTGAAAGTTCTTTAAAAGTAATAATAATAATAATAAATCTCAAATGACCAAAGAGAAAATAATCAGACAAGAGCTTGAATAGGCTCTTTTATATAAAAAGGAACTCATGTGGCTGGTAAATGCATAAAAGGTACTTAATTTAATAACTAGAGAGATGCAAGTTAAAAGCATAATAAGAAATCAGTGTATACTTATGCATGTTAGGTAACAATTGGCAAGTCTATAAATTGATGAAGTCAGAGCAAAAAGAATCTCACTTTATCCCCTGGGAACTACACCTCAGTAATCGGTCGTTGTCATAGGAAGTTGACAATAAGTGTATTTTATGAACCAGCCATCCCATAGTTCATTATCAGTGTTCTTTGGACCATTTCACTTGTTATACATATAAAGAAGTCATGAAATTGTGGACTCTGTCGTATTTACTAATTGCCATCCCAGTTTTTCACCCTTAGTTTTAAAAATTGGAAATGATGTAAGCTCTAGATCACTGTAAATACTAGCATTTTAAATAAAACCATTACATCATTCTGCTAAGTGTTTCCAATGGGATGCCAATGGCGTAGTAATGTGACACCAGAATCTATTTAGAAAAAGCTAAAGTAGGCTCTTCCTCAGGAAAACATTTTTCCAGTGTTACATTTTCTCTCTCCCTGTAACTTTCCAACCTTTATTTTTTTATACTGAATTTTACTTTAACATATTAATTTTACATTGTAAGTTTTTTTCTTTGTTTTCTTTCCTCTGAAGAAAAATACTAAAATTATAATTTGCAATTAAAATGTGTTCAGTAGCATTTACAATGACAAGTTTTGGTTGAGTTCACTTACGAATAATAAATGGTGCACAGTGATCAAAGACATAAAATGTGCCTTAAAGTGTTATGGAGATTATTTATGCTGAAGTGCTGGGTTACTTCTTGTTGAAACAACAATTTCATTAGTTGTAAACCGGTTTCTGCTATAAGTTCAAGGTTAGACTTTACTGTCTATGTTTTGTTTCCATAGCTAAACACTTAGAGGAAACTTAGTCCTATCAACAAGATGGCCACAGTGGAGACTGCCTAAATACTGTTCAGTCTTTGGAGTACTTTCAGATGCATGGTACTCTCAATGGGCAGCATGCACAGGATCCAAGCAGATTTCAGTGCTGCTTAAAGCAAAGGGCAGAACCACTCAGCTCACAGCATTTCTTACCTATGTCTATGAATTTGCAAGAGCTGCCATAGCAACATACCGATAGTGAATGGTGGGAGCTGCAAAAGCTTATTTCCTCTCAGGGTTGAAGGCTGTGAACACAAGATCCAGGTGCTCGCAAAGTGGTGTCTTCCCAGGGCTCCTTCCTTGTGTGCAGATGGCCCTCTTGTTGGTGTGACTTCCCAGGGCTCCTTCCTTGTGTGCAGATGGCCCTCTTGTTCCTATGTCTCCCCCCATTTGTGTATCTGTGTCCTAATCTCTTCTTCATGTAAAAACACTAGTCTTAGTGGGTTACAGGCCCAGTAGGGCCATTATTTTAGTATTTTAGTGTATTTGCCTCTTTAAAAACTCCATCTTTGGGCTGCAGTCAATCCTCTAGTTAATGCCCAAACTAATGTGCTCTGGCCATGTTTACAAAAACTATTCTTCCTATTCTCACCCAAAGGCTGTAGTCATTCACTGCCTGCCAGCCCCTCGTCTGCTGCCACATCTGTGGCCACCAGCCCATTGCAGTTATGTGTATATACTGTAATGTCTGCCGCAGCCACTGAAACGTAAGTATGTGTGCAATGAGATCCACTAAAACACTGTAAACAAAATGAAATTATTTAAAAATGAGATTAAGGGTTCAGTCATTATAAGTACTGGCCGTTCTTGAGAAGCCCTGGGTTCGATTCCCAGCACCCACATGACAGCTCAGAACTTCTTGTAACTCCAGTTAGGCTTCCAGTGAGATTACCTATCACCAAGGAAACAAAATTATAACAAATGCCAGTGAGGGTCCAAGGAAAGAAGAATCTTTATTAACTGCTGGTGAGAATGTAAATGTGTGTACCCCGTGCAGATCCATATCAAAGTTTCTCAAAAAAATAATAAAACTAGAGCTATCATATGACCCAGCTTACCAATCCTAGTTATGTGCCTAAAAGACTCTAAATCAATATACCACAGAGATACTCCACCTTCCATGTTCACTGCTGCACCATTCACAACATCCTGGAAGTGGAACCAGCCTAGGTGTTCATCAATAGATGAGTGTGCAATGGAATTTTCTGAAGCCATAAAGAAAAAAAATGAAATTGTGACACTTGCAGGAAAACAGGTGAAAATGGAAATTGTTATTTTAAACAAAATAAGCCAGATTTGGACCAGGGAGCTGGCTCTGTGGGTAAAGGTGCTTGCTGCCAAGCCTGACACCCTGTTTTCCACCAAGTTCGATCCTCAGAAGCCACATGGCAGGAAAAAACTGGCTTCCCTTAGTTAGTCTCTTCCCTCCCACAGTTACTGTAGCACTGAATACACATATACACATGAACAGAAGAAAGGAGCGAAGGAAGAGAGGGAGGGAGGGAGGGAGGGAAGGACGGACAGACGGACAGATGGAAGGACGGACAGAAGGACGGACGGATGGAGGGAGGAAGAGAGGGAGGAAAGAAGAAAGGAGTTTATGGGAGCCAATTACATTAAAATTCTCACACATGCCATAGTGCACCAGTAGTGCTATCTCAAGTACGTAATCTCAGCACATGGGAAGTAGAGCCAGGAGCATTGCCTCAAGTTCTAAACCAGGCTGGATTACAGAGTGAGGGCCAGGACAGCTGAGAAAGAAAGAAGAGGCAAGGGATAGTGCTGGCTCTGTGGCTGGGTTCCCACCTCAAAGGGAGAGGAAGTTAGAGGGAAGGGATTGAAGAAAAAGAAGAACAGAAGAAAAAGAAGTAGCGCTATATAAAACATGACTTTGCGTGCTGCCCTAAAAACTAAACTGTCAGAATTAAGTGCTTGTCAGTGACAGGTGCTTTGCTGGGGCCTCGTTATGTGCAATGAGTGGAGAGTATTGACAGAAAATTCTGACCTGACTCACAAACGGCACAAAGAATGCTTCCCTAAATGGCAGCTCGAGCCATCCAAACTTTTGCATACTCCAGGCTTCTCCACTGAGGATCTTAGACGTGATGAAAAGCAACCAGACCACGAGAAAGACTCACATTGTATAATCAGTTCCCCAAATAAGAGGAGTCCTAGTTAAATCAGAAGCCCCAAAATAATGCGTCGCTGAGGATTGTACCATGCCAGAGCAATCCTGAATGGACACAGAGTATTTTACCACTGAGTCACAGAACTGGGGCTGTCCACCGAAGGTCAAGACCGATCTTAGTTCAAAGCCTGGCAGAGTCTGTTTCAGTCATTCACGATGGTCAACCCAAACTGCCCTGCCTTCCCACCCTCCCACCTCTCAACACTGAAACAATTGCAAAAGTGGAATCTCTTCAATAAAGGTGATTTCTTGTTGCTCGGGGATAATTCAGTGTTCAACTGCTCTTGTGCATGCATTTCATAGTGCTCATCCATGTATATTACATCTCTTTTTAGTAAGCAGAGGAAGTAATGGTAATTCCAGCCCAATGTTGATATGAACCAAGGGCTGTCTGGCCTCAGAGGTGTGACTAGGAGAGCAATGAACAAGC